CCACTCACCTCAGCCTCCCAAGGCACAGGATTACAGGCTGAGCCACCGAGCCCGGCTCATCCTTAGTCATTTTGATGTACCTCATCAACTTTCAAACTTTTGACCAAAACCTGCAATGATGTATTTTACATTGCGATCCAGAGCCTCACGCCTTTATAATCGAAACACAAGTTTCACAAAGCAGTGCTTGCACTTAACACAGGCATGCACTCAGGTTCTGTCCGATGCTGGTTCTTCTCTTGTCTCCTTCCTTCCCTCCCTCCTTCTCTCTCTTCCTTATTCTTTATCATAACTTTCCAGTTGAATAACACTGCGTACTGCCTTCCAATACTTGTTCATTAGTTCATCAAATATTCATTAAGTGTCTTCTATATGTCTGATACTGTGTAGACACTGGGGATACAATGGTGAGTAAAGCAGACAAGGTCCCTGTCCCCACAGAGCTTACTGCCAGAAGGTTTTGCACATGAAATGTAACTGGGAAAAAATTATATTGCATAAAAAACCCCCACCTCCCGCAAAATCTTGGAAGAAATCTACACAGTATTGACTTAGAGAAACTAAACTCAAAGTAGCTGGCTTAGATTGCCTGGTAAATATACAGCTATTTATTAATATTAATTAAATGACTGTAGAAGAGGGACAGTGATGTTTACTACAGCATCTTCATAATAACAAAATAATAAAATAATAAAATACAGACATTGGAATACTGTACAGCAATTAAAGTAATGACCAGTCACGATGTGTATCAATATAGATACATCTCAAAAACAGTTAAAAACAAGTTTCCAGACCATAATACACATAGGTTAGTAGAGGACAAAGCATATTAACATACAATGCAGTATAATACTGAGCACTGCAAAAGCATGACAGTGTAATAGCATTTGTGTAAAAGTGTTAAAACGGCTGGGCCTGGTGGCTCAAGCCTGTAATCCCAGCACTTTGGGAGGCCGAGGTGAGAGGATTGCTTGAGCCAACAGGTTCAGGACCAGCCTGGGCAACTTGGTGAGACCTCATCTCTACAATAAATAAAAAATTAGCCGGGCATGGTAACTCACCTGTAGTTTCAGCTACTTGAAAGGCTGAGGCGGAAGGATCATCTGATCCCAGTGGATTGATGCTGGGGTGGCTTTGAGGATGCCACTGCACTCCAGTCTGGGCGACGGAGCAAGACTTTAGCTAAAAAAAAAAGTGTTAAAACATCTGGAACAAAGTTATGTATTATCATGGACACATATGTATAGTAAAGATGAAAAGCCATTCAGGGAATGACCACATATCAATTTTAGGATAATGCTAAACTACTCTCTGAGGTGGAAAGGAAGGTTGAGGCTTTAACAAATCTTGTTACAGTAAAAAATTTTAGCAAATGTGACAAATGTTAATTAAGTATTGTTAAGTCTGGGTGCATGATTATCTCATTTGTGGTGCCTTTCTGTATATATAAAATGTTTAATAATTTAGAATTGAACAGGTGAAACGAGTGTGCTGTGCCACTTTTCTAAGTCTGGTGCATGGACGTTTCTGAGTTCTGTGCTTTCCGCTGGCTTTCTCTATCATGTTCCTGTTGTTCCCCTAAAGAAACAGTGTAACCTTAAGAATCTATGGCTAAGGAGATTGGAGGGTTTGGAAATCACTCGGGCTTCAGGGTCATTGTTCACGATTCACCAGCAGAGGGCGCTGCTTGCACAGCAGATGTGAGGTGGGGACGGCCAGCCCAGGCAGCTCTTCTAGAGAAGGACGCACTGTTCTACCCAGGTGTAGAAAAGTAAGGTATTGAAATACATGCAGGTTTCTTTCTGCTTGTAGGAAAGGGCCCAGAATACAGCCGTTTGGAAGCATACTTCATGTTTCTTTGACTACTCATAACCTTGGCTATTTTTGAGGCTAAGGATGCAAGACATGGTACATGCCAAGAGAGCATCCTTTGCTGCTGCGTCCACAAGCCTGCTGCTGATTTTGGAGGAATTTCTTTTGTTGTTGAACTGACTGGAAATCTTCCCTTTTTCCTAGGTGGAAAAGGATTATTCTTACTTGAAGGAGATATGTGATCATCAAGCAGAACAGCTGAGCAGAACCAGCCTAAAGCTGCAAGAAAAAGCATCAGAGAGTGATGCAGAGATAAAAGACATGAAAGAAACCATATTTGAATTGGAAGATCAGGTGGAACAGCACCGGGCTGTCAAGTTACACAATAATCAACTCATCAGTGAGCTAGAAAGTAAGTGAAATCAAACTCAGGCAAAATGTGGAACAGGCGTGAGCAAGATGCTAAAGAAGCCAGTAGCAGTGGGTGACTTTGGAACCATTTTTAACAATGAGTTGGTTAGGGTTTATAAAGAGTCTTTCTTCTGAGTGTTTTGCAATCTCCAGTACTTAAGAAACAAAAGTTATCGGCCTGGGCAACAAAATAAGACCTCGTCTCTAGAAAAAATTTTTTAAAAATTAGCTAGGCATGGTTAGCCAGTTACCCAGAAGGCTGAGGCGGGAGAATCGCCTGAACCCAGGAGGTCGAGGCTGCAGAGAGCTGTGTCATGCCTCTATACTCCAGCCTGGACGGAGGGAGATCCCCCCAAAAGGAAGGGAGGGAGGGAGGGAGGGAGGGAGGAAGGAAGGTCTCTTAAAGTAAGTCAAAATCTGGATAACAGAGGAAAAGATTGTTGTACATGAGTCAGCAGCATAGGGTGATTGTGAAGGACAGCAGATGCTTTTTGGCTGTGCTAGTTGTGCTGTGTGAGAGCCACGCTGCTGCCACTGTCTCTAGACAGCCTCATCGACTTGGAGGCATGTGTTAGGACAGTCCAGCTGAGACCGTGTTAGAGTTCACACAGAGCCTTCCAGAGGATAGTCCTCAGGGCAGAAGAGGGCTATTCAGAATAAATTGCTTGGGATAGTCATCAAGTATTGACACTGTGTAGTCTTTTGGAGTGGATAGATACAGGGATGGATGACAGATGGTAAGAGTGGAGTGAACCGTGTGTGCTCTTGGTCTAAGGGAGAAGACAATTCTAGCATTTGTCCCATTGATAGTGGGATATCAAATAACATTGGCCGCTTAGTTACTGAAGAGGTATCAGTATATGGTTTATTTATGAATCCATCATTTGCTTTGAGACAAGGGAAGACATTTTTAAAAGAGATTATTTAAACATCACCTACATTGTCCAAATAAACATTATCCAGCTTATCATATCTAATGTGTTTGGCTTTTGTAACAAAAGATTTAATACACAAAGCTTTTAGTCATACGAACCACTGCTAAAAATAGTTTAGCCAATTTTCTGAAAAATTCCCCAGCATGTCAGTCCTCATTATTCATGGATTCCATGTTTGTGAATTCATCTGCTTGCTACGACTTACTTGTCAGCCCCAAATCAATACTCATAGCTCTTCCACGGTAATTTCTCAGACATGCACCAAGGTGAAAAATGAGTCAGCCAGCGCTTGTGCCCCCAGCCGAGGCCAAACAGACACTGCCTTCTTCCTTTCGTTCTCATACCATATCTTAATGTCTTTCTCACAGACTATGTAGTGGTATGTTGTGTAGCATACTTGTGCTTATTTTTGGTGATTTTGCTGTTTAAAATGGCCCCCGAGCACAATGCCGAAGTGCTGTCTACTCTCTCAGCACAGTGAAGCTGAGATATACCTCACAGAGAAAATACATGTTAGATAAGTTTTGTTTAAGCACGAGTTATTGTGCTGTTGAGCACGCGTTCAGTGTTGACAAATCAACAATGCAGTGTGCGAGAAAAAGGAAGAGGAAGTCTGATGATACGTACGTAAGACTGCCCTAAGGAGTGGTGACAGACCATCTATAGTGTCTGATGAAGCTATGGAAAAGATAGAAAATTGCTAAATTCATGGATTCATGATGTCTTGGTCCGTTTACGTTGCTATAAAGGAATACCTGATGCTGGGTAGTGTATAAAGAAAAGATATTTATCTGCCTCATGGTTCTGCAGGCTGTATAAGAAGCGTGTACCAGCATCTGCTTCTGATGAGGGTCTCAGGAAACTTCCACTCATGGTAGAAGGGGAAGGGGAGCAGGCGCCAGGCTCTTTTCAGTACTTAGTTGGTGAGGGAATTAATAGAGCTAGAACTCACTCATTACCATGAGGAAAGCACCAAGCCATTCATGAGTAATCTGCCTTGGTGCCCCAAACACCTCCCACCAGGCCCCACCTCCCATACTTGGGGTCAGATTTCAACATGAGATTTGGAGGGAGCAAATATCCAAACTGTATCGCATGAGATGACAGCCAACTTTAGAAAGTAGTGGACAGCACTATTGTGAGGCCAAAAACTAAAGAAATTTACATTCACATTGCCAAAGGACAGGAAAATATTAAACCGTTCTCCACTAATGCTGGCTGGCTCACAAGTTCAAAAAGCTGTAAGGTGTGAGGGCCTTGTAGGCAACCATGTAGGTAAGGCAGGATCTGCAGGTCAGGAGGCCATGGAAGAATTTTTAAAATACTTGCTCAGAGCCAGGCTCGGTGGCTCAGCCTGTAATCCCGCGCCTTTGGGAGGCTGAGGTGAGTGGATTGCCTGAGCCCACAGGTTCAAGACCCGCCTGGGCAGCGAGACCTCATCTCTACAATAAATCAAAAAAT